TTCTTTGGTTTCATTCTTTATTTCTTCATGTGTGCTCTCTGTAGATGGAAGTTAAAGAATTGTTCTGGTGCTGGTTTCCATTAAGAAATTTATATTCATACTCACTTCAACTGTACATGCAGGGTGATTTCTTAGTGCACTTCATGGATACAGCTAGAGAGGAGCTCATGAAGAAGCCTGATGAGATATCTGTGGAGAAGCTACAGGTTTATACATAGTTCTTTAGGTTTCTGCTTCCTCTAAATAGGGAAATCATTTGAAGCTCTTTATAATGTGGTGTCATCTTCTTTTCTTTCTTCTGAGTAGTCTCTTCTAGACCTTGCTTTGCGATCTACTGCAGCTGGTGCAGATCCTTGCCATGAGGACTTGTTATGTTGTGTGGTGAGTTATTATTACCTTGGCCTGTTTAACCTTCTAGACATGGAGATAATCTGCTAAATTATGTAAAATATGGTCCATCTTTTCAGGAGAGGACTACTTTATTGAAAAGATTGAGTACATTGAAAGATCTTGAAATCAGCCGGTCTGCTCCAGATAGCAATGATTTAGAGGAGCCACTGAGCATAACTGGCTTGGAAACTTTTTCTTTGAATTACAAGGTTTGCCTTCTAATTTCTCTTGTAGATGAAGGAAATTACACCGCAGCTCCACACAACAAAAAGAAAAAGAAAAAAGATGAAAGAACAGAAAATTGCATAAAAGCAGTTCTCTATGTCTTCTATATCAATCATAGATTCAGAACTCATGTAAGATAAAGCAGTCTGCGACAATTTTGCTGTTCAATACCTGGCCAATTTCAAAAAATTAATTAGCAGGAAATTTATCTATACTTTTAGCTAAGTCAAGAGAATCAATTGGGGAGTAAAATACTCACTTTCCCCTCCTGTTATACTTGTCCTATATATCTCTGCGTTACAGTTTCTTTTATAGCTGTGTGCAATGATGTTAATCTGTTCATTGAGTGCCACCTAGCAACAACCATATTTAACGAACGCTGAGGGAGAGCATCTTGTTTCCTTCTCTTGATTTTCTGTTTTGGTGAGAATGACATTAAAGGTCGAGGTATTATTTTTGCTGGGTCATTATATTATTGTCTCCTGAGCCTGGTTGCATTTGTTGTGTTTCAGGTTAGATGGCCCTTATCTCTTGTAATATCAAGGAAAGCCTTGACAAAATATCAGTTGATTTTCAGATTTCTATTTCACTGTAAGCATGTTGATAGGCAACTCTCTGGAGCATGGCAAGTACATCAGGTATGAGCTTTCAGTTACTTTTACTAACAGTAGTAAAGTAGTTTCTCTTTTTCTTTTTGACTTCTGATAGATTTGCATTTTTGCGTATTTTGTTATTATAGGGTCTCCGCAAGCTTGACATGCAAGGAACTACAGTTTCTGTATCATCTTTGTTATGTCGCAATATGCTGAAGTTCATAAATAGTCTCTTACACTATTTGACATTTGAGGCAAGTTTCACCCCTTCTAAGGGAACCACAGTTCCTATGTTAGTTTGCTATGTCTGCCTGTCTTTGGTACATTAATTTCTGCTTGAAGGCTTTGAGTTTCTTACTTCTCTATTTGTATTTTTTTGATATGTTATTCTCCCGTTATTTTAATTTCTGGTTGCATACTTTTAGTTTCCCAGTTTTTCTCATTGTTCTTTTCATCACTGTCACCGTACCACCACTAATGTATCCTTCTCTTTCACGATTCTTCTTCATTATTTATGCTATATTAGACATGTACTAGTTTAGTACATCTACTAAACTAGTGAAGACAGCTGTTCCTTTTTTCTCTTGTTATAGAAGGTCAAAAGAATGAATTATATTGACTGATTTAAAAGACGGCTGACTGTAAAATTTTTGATATTTTATTGGTTGATATACAAGAGGGTTGACAGAATAAGTTTTGATGTGTATTGCTAGTCAGATTGAACCAGTATTTTATTGTATCTTCAGGTGCTTGAACCTAACTGGCATGTAATGCTCAATAGACTTCAAACTGCAAAAAGCATTGATGAGGTAAAATGATTATGTACAAAGAAATCTTGTGTCTAAACACCTTATAGGAGAGACTCTTGCTCGGGTGGTCCTTATGTTTCAACTTGATGTGTTGTCTCATTGATTGTTTGATTCAATTTTTGGGCAGGTTATCCAATACCATGACTTTTTTCTTGACAAGTGCTTGAGGGAATGTGTGCTTCTATCACCAGCCCTTCTTAAGGTTAGTTATGATTTCCACTCCTGGTTATTGGTGGCCTTCAGATACATTGTTCCTAATTATAAAGTCTTCACAAAAGATGATACTGATTATAGCCCTTCTGCAATGTTCAAGAACCAACATTTATAGCAACTACTAGATTACGTTTTAGGTTTTGAGTCTGTTCCTTTTCAGGTGATTAATTTTGTTATTTTGTTGTTCTAACTATTTTTACTGTCCTGATTTTCTCATGAATGTTTTTCTAAATGCAGAAGGTGGAGAGGTTGAAATTAATATGTCTGCAATACGCAGCTGCAATGCAACGGCTGATTACCTCCTCGTTGGATACTACTGACAATGACACATTGTCTAATGATTCTCCCAGTATAGAAAAATATAAGAACTTGAAACTAAGGACCCCATATCAGATGCTGAGACTAGCTCCTGAAAACGTCACAGTATTAGACTCCGTTCTGTATGTTATAACGAATTTGTACTTGATTTTTTAATCTCTTTTATCTGTGTCTCTCTCTCATAGCTAACTATAATCATTTTGCAGGAAATTTGAGAAGGAATTTTCTTTTGAGCTTCACAGCCTGGGACCGATATTAAGCAGTGGCTCTCGAGCAGAACCATACTTGACTCATCTTGCACAGTGGATCCTTGGTGTGGGAAAAGACCAGTAAGCTGATTGTTTTTTGTTGCCTACAAACTTTAGTTTTAGTGATGTTTATTTTTATTTATGTCTGTTCGATTTCTTTTTCTTCTTAATTACTCGGTTGAGCTTGTAGAGTGTGATCGTTGTGAAATCAAATCAAGCTTTTCTTATTTATTTACTTCTGTTACTGAAGAAAATATGTTGTTCTCCATTTCCAAGTATAAAAAAATACACTATCTGGACTAAGGTTCTATCTCAATTGTTTTCGATCCAGATAAGTGAAAAATATGTATAGGTCTATTTTCAATTATTTGATTATGTATACATAAATACATTTCTATAGTGTAGTAAAATACCTAAGGTTGAACTAATCCTAACATTTTTAATTTGCTGATTAACTAAATACAACAACCGATGGTTATTGGGTTTGTTGGCTCTAATAAATGGATAGGCAGCCGCTCCTTCTCCTTAAAGTCAAAAGAGGATTTGGTATTGCTTTATGAGAAGAGAATTATTTGTCCAAATAATATCGTAAAAATAGATATTTTTATGTACATATTTTTAGAATTAATTTAACAATATTTTTTAATCTTAAAAATTCTAGGAAAAAGGAAACCGAATAGTGTACCTTTAAGTATTGATTTATTAGTTTATAATTTGTTGTAAATTATAAATTCAAAAGTTCTCTATTTTTTTAAAAAAAAAATATCGTGTCCGATCAAAAGAGTAATAATTTCATGGAAGCTTCTAAAAACTTTGTTTGTTGCTCAACGTCTTTATTTTTCTTGATGCCTAAGACTTCTTCATATAACAACTAGTAGTAGAAGAAAAGCAAATGTGGAAGAAATAACGAAAGTTTTCAAAAAATAATAATTTGGGTAGCGTCTACATGTGTAACTCTGACCTATTTGCCTATTCAACAGAGTTCCTTATTTTTTTTCTTCAAGGATTTAAAGTTGTTAGATTCTAATATAATGAAAATTTTATATTAATAATTTAGTTTAATACGTTATATAACCAGTTGATTATAATTTATTATAGATTGTCAAATCAATATTATTATACGGAATACATACATACTTTTGAATTGATCTAATTACGTAATTATCTATTCGTACAAAACATGTAGTAAGTAGTTCATAAAGAAAATATAATTCTTTGTAAGTGGGGGGAAGAAAAATACAAGGCTATTATTATTGTGGAGGTTAAAAGCTATTCCCTCTGGTCCAATCAAAATATATTGTTAACAATGGTTCAAAATATATGAATTTTTCAAAGTTTTAGAATATATTAAAATTTATTTATTTTATTTATAGAATCAATTTTCTTTTAAGAGGGAGTTTCAACTATTTTTAAATCTCAAATAATTATCATTACTTTTAAGAAGAGTTTTGAGGAATCAAAAGGGTAGTATTAACGAATAATTTTTTTGATTGATGTCTTTAAACAAATTTTTTAAAGGATGTGTCACACTCCAACAAAATAATTAAATTGGACTAGAGAGGAGGATATAGTTCCATTAGCAACACAATTGAATATTTTGATTATATTACAATAATGATAACGAGTTAATGTGATTCTGAGATTCATAAAAATTTAAGTATACTCGATCGAATTGCATTCAACGGGTATGATAGCACTAAAAAAATTCAAACCATTTAGACTTTATAGATTGAATTGTTTAAAAAAAAAAAGAAAATCTCACCCCGAAATGAATTTCAGTAGTTTACTTACCAAAACACATTTAATAACTTCCCACACAAACCAAACACTGACTTTGGGAAAAAATTAACGCGTCAACTTTTTGACTCATAAAATTGCACCTCCCCTTTTTTTTCTTCCCTATGAGCAGTTAACAAATATTTATTACTCATTTAAAAGCAAAGAGTGTAATATTAGAATACCAAATTTTTAATTAAGATGTTAGATAGGGACACATCAACCTCTCTTTATAAAAGAAAAAGTCAAAGTAAGGAAACTTCAATAATTATACATATAGATCTTGACGTATGACACTAATTATATTTTAATCTAAATGGTTTAATATGTTAAGTTTCTTTTTAATCCATGTCTAAATAGAATTTGTTGTCAAAATTATATTATAACAAGGTTTCCAAATTCTAGTTAAAATATGTTTTGCACTATTATAAATAAAAGGAGGGGTATTGCAACTTATTTTCTTACGAGTGAATTAATTTACCTTACGTAGTTTACCTGTTGGCCGAATTCAGATCAGTGAGTTTCGGATACCAAATACATAAAAGGAAAAAAAGAAAATTCAACTCTTTCAAGATTCTATATATATTAACCAAGTACTACACTCTTTGTTACATCCTCCCCACATTTCTTTCTACAATGGCAGAGCAACAAAGAATTCATCCAGTACCTGAACCAGAACATGAACTTCCAGTACAAAAACCCTCTGTCCCTTTAGTGCCAAAGGGCTCTTTCAGTTCAGAAAAAGGTGACCCTGAGAAACAGCAGCAGCAGCAGCAACCACCTTTTAGAAGAACAATCCCATATTATCCACCATTAAAACCACCAAAGAGAAGATGTTGTTCTTGCAAAAGATGTCTATGTTGCACATGTTGTCTGTTGTTCATCATCATCATAATCATTGCTGCTTTATCTGCTGCTTTTTACTTTGTCTTCCAGCCAAAAATACCAAAGTACTCCGTTGACAGTATGAGAATCACACAGTTCAATTTCAATAATGACATGAGCTTATTGTTTGCTACTTTTAATGTTAACATCACTGCAAGAAACCCCAACAAGAAGATTGGGATTTACTATGAAAATGGTAGCCAATTGAGTGTTTGGTATACTGGTGTTCAGCTTTGTGAAGGGTCATTGCCAAGATTTTATCAGGGTCATCAGAATACTACTGTACTCAGTTTGGATTTATCAGGACAAACACAGAATGTTACTGGATTGTTGCAGGCACTGCAGGTGGATCAACAAAGAGGAAGTATTCCATTGAATCTCAGGGCAAAAGTTCCAGTGAAGCTCAAGATTGGGAATTTGAAGCTAATGAAATGGAACTTTTTGGTGAAGTGTAGTCTGGATGTGGATAGTTTGTCTGCAAATAATACTATCAGGATTAGGAATAGTGATTGCCAGTTTGGTTTTAGGTTATAATCCAGTCCTGGAATTATTTTCTGTATAATTATTTTTTCCTTCCATTTTTTACAGATTTTTTTTTCAATATCTGTTGACACTGTTTACTCATATTATTTTGGATTGATATAAAGTGATCTGTTTCCTCTTTACTTTTTTGGGTCTAACTGGTTTAACGGAACAGAATTGTCGGTATCCAAAAGAAATTTCTGAACAAGGTAATACAATTTAAAAGGGCAGCTCGGTGCACAAAGAGGTGTAATGTAGGCAACCTACAGCGATTGATTCCACGGTTCGAACTTGTGACCTATAGGTCAACTTTAGTGTTGCAAGGCTCCTCTTCTGAACAAGGTAATACAATCACTATGAGTATTTCAATCTTGATATAATGTGAAGTACAATCACTTTATTTGAGCTTTTTGCTATGACTTGTGCACTCCAAAGATGTCCATTATTTGATTACTTTCCCTCTATTTTCATACATAAATTCTTACTTCCGTTTTTTGCCTAGTTTACTTAATTCCTGTATCTTGGTGAGACCTTCATGGATGTGGCCTAAGCAGATTATAAGAGCATCTATCGCTATGATTATTGCAATATACATGGTTAAGCATCTATCGCATATCAGGTGCAGGAAAGGGACTTTTATAGGATAAATGATATTCTCATCTTTTGCAGGGAATTCTAATTGCTATCTCTGAAGTCAATTTGAAATGGTGCATCTGTTGCGCATATTTGTTGTATGCTTTTGTTCCCTTCATTAAAGTGATGCTCCAATTTTAGCACGATGGTATCAATCATAGAACTTAAAAGAATAACTGTGACACAGATCCCACGAGTAGGCAGTAGATGAATTACATTTGCTTCAAGTAAATCATTTGCAGACAACATTCAACGAAAACGAAAGGTTGCAAAGCATACAATCTTCAATGAAAACAAAAGGCTGCAAAGTGTGCAACCACAACTAAAAATTCTATTCTAAAACAAACTGCATACATCTTAACAAATTCTTCAACGTTTTAAGTAGAAGCAGCCATAGAAATCCCTCCTCTAAGTCCAACTCTGCCACGGCCTATTCCTGTTTGCTGGTTGTCAGATTCCCTCCTCTTCACATTCACTCTTCTTTTTCCTTCTTCCATGTCGTGGCTAATCTCAGAGATCGCATGCCTTTGAAAGCCTAGAGGACTCTTGTTATCATCTCTACTGTAGGATTTTGAAGAAGGCCAACAGTCAGTTGAATCAGCCGAATTTGGTTCCCATGAGGAAGGGGAAAGCCAGTTTTGCTGACCACCAACAACACTGTTGCTTCCTGAGGATTCTTGTTCTTCCATATCAGTTCCCCTTCTGAAAGTTACATACTTTTGTATGCTTGGCTCCATAAGGTCATCACTCACAGTAACTTCAGACTCCATGAAGGGATCCTTGATCCCTAACTTCTTCTTCCCTAGAGGATCGAAAGAAGCATTATCATTCTGACTATATTGCTCAGATGTGGCGTTTCTTCTCCTGTCATCGGAGAGAGCACTGGACAGATTGGAGCTAGTGGTTGAGTTCAGGTCAGCAACTGCATCAACAATTGAGCAAGCTTTTGTTACACAAGGTGGTAGTGAAAATGCAGGGGTGGTGGTATTAGTCTTTTGATGGAAGTTTTGGATGTCTTCAAGCAACAGTGCAGTATATGATTGAGGAGGGTTTGAGAGAGCTTCAGGATTGATGTCCAGGTCTCTAGATAGCCTTAAAGACCTGCTTCTCTGTGGTTTATGGCTTTCAGGTCCTGAAACAATCACATTCATTGCAACATTATGCTGCTGCTGCTCCTTGACTTTGCCATTGCTCACAGTTTCTGCATTCAATTTCTGCAAAGAGAGAGCACATCAATATTGATACTAAATCAATCAAAATCCCGTACTAATCGGGGCTAATGAATACTCCACTCTCATTAGTCTATAGATGTCTATTTCAAGTAAATTATTCATCTTCCAAGGAAAATAAGGTTCTTTAAATTTCACATTTATTCCTACATAGATATACAAGTTTCTAACAAGACTAACATCGGTTTCCATTCTCTAATTTCACACTTGTACCTACACCAGACCTACAAAACTAAAATTCATTGCATCAAAGATTTGCTAGCACAAGCAATTATCATCAGCCAATCTATGATAAATAAGCAAAAACTAAAACATAAGTTTCTTCTAAGGAAGTCTACAACCTAATAAAAGGAGCCAACCTGGGAAGGGACCTTCAGTCCTGGCGCGGGCATCTGCTCCAAGACAACGTTGCTGTCAATCTCACTGAGAGGATTTCTTCTGTATGGAGATTGCTCGTGTTTCCTTGAATTGCTACGGCTAAGGGACATGGGCTGCTGTTGATTTTGATTAGAATGAGTATTGTTATCTCTCTCATTCAACACCTTTGCATTCACCCTTGCTGGTGACCGAGCGCGCGGAGATGCAGCAGTTCGTGGTCCGTCACCACCTGCATTTCTCTTCACTTGAATCCTCTTAACAGCAGCAGCAGATATATTGTCAGTTCCACCAGCATCAATGCTCTTATCCATCACCATAGATGAGACAGTAGCAGGTACAGATATCATCTTCCCTGGCCTACCACCATTATTTCCATTAGCATTAACAGAAGCCACATTACCACCATTTGTGGTAGTAGTAATTGGTGAGTCAGATCTTCTACCAGGAGATCTGCTCACCCTTCTACCCCCTCCTCCACCACTGCTGCCTCTTTCTCTACTACTCCCCGACCGCTGCTGCTGCTGTTGTGCCTGGTCTCTTTCCCTACTCGGGGTTCTCCTCCGTCCCTGAGACGAAGAATTAGGGGTTCTAGGCTGACGCTGGCGTTGCCTATGGCGACGAACTCCAGTCCCAACAACCCCATCGTCCTCACAATCTACTACATTATCTTGCATCCCCTCATTTCCATTGTCATTCTCAAAATCAAAACTCCTCTTGGAACCAGAGTACTTTCTACTCCTTTGAGGAGTATCAGTAGATCCATTAGAACCCAAAACCCCTGTCTTTCCAGTAGATGAACTCCTGCTAAGCCGCCCACATTGTATCAAAATAGCATCAACCTCTTCTTTAGTACAACTTGAAGTCCTCACGGGAGCCGATACAACAATACCATTCTCTTTGCCTAATCCTAATCCTAACCCTAACCCTAACCCACCATTGCTATTACTAATACCATTTTTCACAGTCTCAACAACTTCAATTCCCTTTTTAACCATACCCTTTTCTTCTTCAGTCTTCCTATCCACTTCATGGCTTTTTCTGTGTTTAATAACAAAGATCTCTTTTTTCACACTTTCTCCTTCTACCTCTTTCTTGTTGTCCAGTTGGGTACTATTTTTAACAATTTCTTGATTTGTATTTGAAACTGCAACAGTAGAAGTAGAAGTAGACTTAGAAGAAGAACAAGAAGTGTTCTTCTTACTCAAACAACTCCCCATTTTTTTTTCTCCAAGAACTGAAATTTTTAAAATTTGCAGTGAGAAGAAGATAAAAGATTTGTAACGGGCAGGAGATGAGAAAAAGATAAGAGGAAAAGGGGTTCAGAGTTCAAGAAAACCACTCAATTAAAAATGGCAACTTTATGGGGTAATAGAAATAGATTCAGAAGAGGCATTTCAAATTTTGACTGAGGCGGGCAAGGGGGTGGGGGTGGGGGGAGGCAGTCTGTCAATAGAGCCGTTAAAAGGGGGTTTTATTAATTTTTTCAAAATAGAAAATAATAAATGTTGTCACCTATATGTTGTTTCAAGGAATAAAAACAAAAAATGTTGTTTTGTTATGTTATTTTATGAAGTATGTTTGGGGAATGATGAGAATCTTGATCCAGTTTTTGGATTAGGGAATCCTTCAACGGTCGTTTGATCAGTGATGGCAATTACGATGGTACGATAGATATCGAATATTATATTAAAATTAAAATTTTTAGTATCGTAATTTAATATTATGCTATTTGAAATATATTTTTAAAAATATCAAATATTGTATTCATATATGTATATATATATGTAAACTATACAATACCACTCTAACAAATATATAAAATAGTAACAAATTATTTAAATGTTAAAATTTTGATAACTCTCTTGATTTTTTTTTTTAGGTGACTGATTAACAAATAAAATTGTGTATACTTTGTTTTGAATATATTTACACGTATTATAATAGAGACGCTTCTTGAAAAGCTCAAGTTGCAACTTTTTTATCATATGAATATATGTAAGTTGAATGCTTGAAGTTGATCAAATTATGATAATTGATTTACCATATTATAATTATCAAAATCAAATTAAAAAAAAATATTGAATCATATCGAAATAATTTGTTAGGAGGATAGTATAATATTTTTAAAAATCGTAAATTGAAATATTATTAAACGGAACTTTTTAATACCGTGCCTACCATACCACCCTACACGTGGGTCACATTAGTTTTCTGTAAATGAATCTTCTTGCTTTGGTGTTGTAATTGTGCGAATTTTTTTTTAAAAAAATTAGATGCCTTATATATAGATAATAATAAAATTGGAGAAAGTGATTTTATTAGAATAATTAAAGCAACACGAAGGTCCCAACTTCACCTACTAGTATTCGGAATTAATTAATTTTGTCCATAATTTATTTTTGGGTATTCGGAATTAATTAATCTTGTTCTTACTTTATTTTTGGTTCATTTATACTCTTTCTTTTAGAAAAAAAAAGTCTTCTATTTGTGTTTCCTATTGTACCAAGAGTTTCACAATGAAACAAGTGGTTCAAATTTTTGAAAAAAAAGAATGTTCAAATTTAGTTTAATGATTAGATTAATTTAATAAGATACATCAATAATAAATATTTTTTAATAATTATATCAAATTAATACGATCAAATAATATGAAATAGAGAAAGTAATAATATTTTATTATCTTAGCTCGTAATTTAGTATACTTTTGTAGGTAGTGGCGCTTGCTAAAGCCTGGAAAAATATAGTATACTTTATATGTCATGTCTTTTGTAGGTGAAAAAAATTATAATTTTTTTGGTCTAAAAGTTTGCTATAGTCAAAACAAATGGTCGTAATTTTTTTGCCAATGTTAAAAAATGCTTTGAAAGAAAATAAGGTTCTCACTATCAGGACTTTGACTGGTT